AAAGTCTATATGATAGCACAGAAGGGAAATTGAGCTTGTGATCACTGGCCAAAAGGCACAATGCCCAGAATCCAAAGCAACTTGGCTTTGCTAGACTAACAATAAACTGAGCTAATTTAATTTTCAGATTCTCAAGTCTTAGTGATTTTTAAATCTTGTCCCTTAAAAACTTAATTCAAAAGGTACTTAATTTAAAAAACCCTAAAGTTAATGAGGGAGGTGTACAAAGGGAGTGGAAGGAATGGGTGATATCATCAATGAAAAGCATGTCAAGGAAGAGGCCTAGCCGTGTGGTCAGAAGTTCTGCCCGCACAGCCTAAGTCAACCTTTCTTTCCCATATGTGCACCTGTGTAACTCAGACCTTGATAACAGCACTGGTTTAGATTTCTAAAAGAAGCTAGAATGACAACCACAGAGGCATCCATTTTATTTAGTAGCTTGTTCTGAACAGAGAGAAATAAAATAAAACAAACCAAAAAAACCTCACACCTTTTTTTCCTAGGTACATTTGACCTGGTTTAGTCTTGAATGCAATGAATGGAAAAACCATCCCTAGAGACTTCTGCTTCCGTAGAGTTGGCCGTCACTGGGCCTGGAGGTGCATGCTAACTTTACAGCAAAAGTAGTGTGTTATTTTACAAACAAACTAGGTTAGCTAGTGGGACTAGAGGACCAGGGTAGCAGCCTTGGGGAAGGCTCAGTGTCCCTGGCTTGTAACAAGAGTATAACTGGCTTCTTTTTGCTGCTCAGACCTCATAGTGAAATCCCTGGGTGGTCCTATTAGCTGATGGGGAAAGAGGGGATAATGAAGTGAAGCAGAACGCAGGGATTTCAGAAGCCTCTTGTGAAACCACACCAACCCCTAGGGCAGCTGATGGCTGCACTCCATTTTCATACTGAAGCATCAAAACTAAAGTATAATGCTTCGTGCCCAAATGCCAGGATTCTTCTGGCATAGATGGCATTCTCTTTGGGCTGCTTGCAGCCACATTGAGAACTGGGTCTCTGCCTTGGGAATATCTTGGGCCTAACAATTTCTTCAGTCCTTGCATTTGGATTCTAGCGTTGAGCTTCCCTTTGGTGTCTCCCATACACCAGGGCATTCAGCTTCTTAGTTTAATTCCAGGGGCTGGAGCTGCAGCTGCTCCCACCCCTATGGAAGAAAGGGAAATACAGTGGTACATGAAAGGTATTTTATTTTATTTTATTTTATTTATAAGGTGCTACAGTGGCAAGACGCTGCTTGGGACAGGGACACACAGCAGAAGTAGTAGATTTTCCAAGATTTCCATTGATGGAGTTTCTCCCCTCCGCAGTATCCTCCTAGCTCCTCACTTCCCAGTCCTACCAGTAGCACAGGTTCGGTGGATGCCTCTTTATTTCTGAAGAGTAGCTTCCAGCCTTCCCTTTCCCATCATCAAACCTGAAATTCTTCATCAGCTGTCTTCCTTCCATGCCAAAACCAGGACCACCGGTTGTTAAGTCTGAAAATCTGGTGTCCTACCCCATAACCAGGACAAGATACCTGCCACCGAGGCTAAGGTCTCTGAATACTTCCTTTCTGTACATTCAGTATATTTGGGCATATATAAATCTATATACATCTTTCTATATATTATCTCTGTTTCTTTCTCCTTAGATAAACCTTTCATATGTGGCATATCCTAATTCCCTGAGCCTCCACCCACCTCTTGCCTCCTAGCCCAAGTGATACTCAAGAGTCTCTTTGATTTCACTGGTTTCCCCCACTCCCGCATCATCTTTTTTCATCTTTACATCCTGGGTGTCCACCCCCATCAGTTGTTTCGGCCATCTTCTGAACATCTCGCCCCCCAACATCTGCCCCTAGTACTCTTCTGACATTCCAAGTCCATGGCTGGTGTGGGAGGCCATTTTTTAATCAGACCTCATTGCTAATGAAGCTTGTCCTATTGCCTGAAAGAGGATTTCAGGTCAAAGGAGACAGGCTATTATTTAAAGAACAATTTAGGGGTTGGGGTGAGAGGAATTTTTCCCAGGGGCTACTTATGGAAGATGCCTGAACGCATTAGTAGGACAGTATGATTTAAAGGGCAACTTCGAGCAAAGCTCAGGATAATTGAGGCAATTCAAAGAGGGTAAGTCAGAAAATGTTCTCTTCTTACTTTGTTATCCAAGAATCTGAGAGTCCTGGGGCTTAGAATAGACAGCAGGGGAATGGGAAGACAGTAATTCTTTCAGGAGGGAAGCAGTGTGCTAAAGAAGCTGAGGGAGTATAACCTGCCAATGGAGAAAACACACACACACACACACTGTTAGTACATTTTGCCCTCACACATTGAAAGAAATTAGGTGAGTCTGCTGTGAATAAAGCTGAGAGTGCAATGCTGGCTCTTTGCCTTCTATGTTCTGTTCAGATTTTCAAGTTTTTCTGGTTCTTGTTTTCATGAGAGCTAGAGAGGAATGGTGTGATTTACAGGAAGTGGGGACTGAAGGATCTTCATTTTCAAGATATAGTTAGTTGAGTTCAAGGAGACATCAATATAATAGGACCTTGTGCAGTTATGGTAAGCTGTGAGCATGGGTCTAACCTCAATATTTTATGAGTTTTCTGCGAGGCTCTGCACACAGATGTGTGTAGATATTCTGTGTAAGTGAGTAGCTTTTAACAGTTGGCTGAGATCACCTAAAATAAACTGCTACTTGATTCATACAGAGACTCTACAAAAACACTTACTGGGTGTTCCTTGGTACCTATTGAGACCAGAAAGCACTTTGGGGATTGGGGGCTTTAGAGAAAGTTCTGTTGCCTGTACTCCCTTCCCTGAATCCTCCCACAGTCTACCAGGGAACAAGGAATGGCCCGAGTCTGACCTCTAAAGAATGCTTTCTAACATGACTGAAACTGGCTTTGTGGCAGAGGAGAGTAGAGATGACACTGATTTTCATCATTTTATACCAAGTCTCAAGAGTGACTGAGAGAGATCATGATTATTTGATCAGGAGGTATATAATTCCCTTCCCTCCCAGCATTGCCTAATGAAATAACTGGCACTTTTTCAGAAAGGCACCAGGAGGCACAACAGGGAGAATAGTGGCTGTTAGCCACAGAGCTCTGCTTTTGCCCAGGCCTTAGCAATGTATCACCAAGGCCCAGAAGCTCTGTACAGCAGTCTGGAACCCGCCCCACTTGGTGGGACTGGTTTAACTTTTCTGGGGAATCAGTGGCCTGTGGATCTAGTTTAAGTTGATCAAGAGTGTTAAGAGAGGGACTCCCTTGCCTTTCCCTCCCTTCCTTCAAATTGAGGAGTTCATAATCCAGGACAGGTGATGTTTTCTAAGTAGAACTGGGTATCTTGAGAGGGTCCATGAGAGAAACTAGAAAGGGGAAATGGTAGTGACCATGGTCCTAGGTTATGGTCAGGAGTCACTAGCAGAAATTAGCTACACCATGACAAACTCTGGCTTCTTTCAGCAGGCCCAGGATAAATTGATTCCAGATTCCTATATTTCTGAGGGCACAGACCCCAAAGTGACCATCAGAGAGAGTCTTGCCTTAGGGAACTTTCTAGATGGGAAAATAGAGATAGAGGGGGCTCCAGCCTCTAGTCACCAAACTTTCTGGTCATGGTGCAGTGGAGGAAGTCTATCCTTCCAACTGCATGGTCCTCTTAAAGTGAGTCTCCAAGCATGGCTGAGACCATCTGAGCCACTTTAGCCTAATCCCTTTCTTTCCCCATCCTGGCTTAAGGGAGGTGCATGTATTGGGGTGGAAGCAGCGGGAGGCAAAAGGGGACAGTAGGAGGAAAACTCAACTCCAGTTGGCCTAGATTACTGATAGGCCACTGCATTAAAATGGAGGATGGGTGCTTCTGGGGATCTCCAGCAAGCCCGGGTAGTACTCTTTACTCAGGGCATTCAAAAGAGGAAAAGAGACCAGCGGGGTGGGAAGGTGGGAACAGACCATCAGACATTGCTGATGCGCACACTAATGGCACTGCCCTCCTTCTCAGCCTGTTCCCGTAATGACTCCTCCAGCTTGAGCTTCTCAGGGTCTCCATAGCGTACCGTGCTGTCATGGAGGCCACTAGGAGAGGCCACTTTCACAACTTGGTCAAAAAGGCTGAAGTCAGCTATGTATTTACCACTGGCTGACAGTGAGATGGCAGGTGTGAACTCATAGCCCCATAGGATCTCCTCTGGCAGGTAGGAAGTGCGCACCTGGCAGGTGGCACTGGTGGACTCCACTGTCCCACTTAGGATCAGCACCAGCTCAAAGTCACCCTCACCGCTTCGAAGAGGGAGATCTTTCAAGGGACTGGTGTCATCTACCACATGATAAAAGGTAAGGGGTAGAATGAGGAAAGGGCTGTCAGAGGCTGTGTCCACTTGGAAAGTCACATTGACCTGGTTGAGCCGGATGTTCTCACCCTCCTTGGTTTGGTGGGTCTGAAGCAGTTTGCCTGTCACCTGGCAGCCAATGAGGAGGCTCTTACGCATGTTGGCAACTCTAATCATAAGGCAAGGCTTCCCGTTGTGGGAAGCCACAACTGCGTGCTGGCTGAAACGGATGGTCTCAGCCCGCTTCTTGGGCCGGGCAATCTTCGCCAGGAAGGTACCTGTGATGAAGATTTCCAGGATGGTGGTGAGCACCAGCTGCGCGATAAGCAGCACGATGGCCAGCGGGCATTCCTCACTGATGTAGCGGAAGCCGTAGCCAATGGTGGTCTGGGATTCCAGGGAGAAGAGGAAGGCCCCAGTGAGTGTGTGCACCTGGACCACACAGGGCGTGTGGTTGGCCGGGGGGCCCAGCTCCAGCAGGTCCCCGTGTGCCACAGCCACCAGATACCATACCACACCAAAGAGGAACCAGGTGCCTGCAAAGGTGGCAGAGAAGAGCAGAAGCTTGTAGCGCCACTGCATGTCAATGAAGGTTGTCCACAGGTCCTTGAGGTAGAGGAAGCGCTTGTCAGCAATGTGCTCCATCCTCACGTTGCTGCGACCATCTTTCGTCAGGACTCTCCGACGTCGTATCCCTGGGCCCATCAGGGGCCGGCTTTCTGTCTGAGTGGTCTGACTGTAATACACCTTGGCAACTGATGTCATCTGGGGGGAGCAAGACAGCACAGTGGAGGTTATTATAGAAATCCAGCCAACTCCTAGCCACCTCTTAGTGGGAAGGAGGAGTTAACATTCACCTGAGTGCCACTTGTTTGTTCTTTTATTAGCAAATGTTTATCAAGCACTTGCTGTATGCCAGGTCATATGCAAGGTGCTGGTAAAACAAAGAAGAAAATGGCATCATCCTTGCTCTCCAGACTTCACTGCCTCGTAGGAAAAACACACATTCATTGAACAAATAATTGTAATATAGTCTGATATTTATAATTCTTAGAAGGGGAGAGAGAGTATTTAGCTCATAGTTCCTTGAAGGCAGGGATGAGACTAAGGAGAGAGAGCTCTACTAATCTCTGTTCACCATAAAACCAGTTCTGTAAAGACCTCTATTTTTGAAGTAGATTCCCCCATGACCCTCACAAAAAGCTAACCTGTTGAAATCCTTCCAGGCCAATCCCTCTTAACACACACATACCTTTCATTTCTTTATTTCTCTCCCACCCCCAAATGAATACCCATTGGTGATACTAAGATAGTGATCTGGCTCAGAAAATAGCAGAAACTGCCTATTCCTCTTCTCTTCAGGATGTGCTCCAGCATTCAGCCCTTGGTGAAACATTTTTTATCCCCACCCTTATCATCATGTGGGGAAATTTGATTGGGTTAGAATCTAGGGTGGTGGTAGGAAAAACACAGACAAGACTTAAAAAAAAATCTGCAGGCCACACGTGGAGCACTTGAGGACTGCTTGGCTTATCTGTGGTATCAGATATTGCCAAAATTATACATGGTGTTTTTTGTTTGTTTTTGCTCATCAGCTCTCATTAGCGTTTGTGTATTCGATGTGTGACCCAAGACAACTCTTCTTCCAATGTGCAATGGAGAAGAAAAAGGTTACACCCCCTGAAGCACTCGTGGAGGAGAAAACATGCTAAGCAAGTTTCCTGGCAGCACTGGGACGTCTCTCCAAGGACTGGCAGAAATGCCAGATTGTAGGTGGCAAAATTGTCATGGCTGAGTGAAGCAGGAGAGTCAAGAATGTAAATTAAGTAGCAGCTATGTCTGCACAGGCTCAAATTCAGGATTGCTATTTGTTCTGATAGCAGAAAGTGGGACAAAGTACTGAAATAGGAGACGTTCCCTTAATACAAGGTGCCTGACATCCCTGCCCAAGGAGGAACTTGTACTTTTCCAGCAGAGAAAGAATTTTAATCACTTGAGCCCTTACACTCTGAGTCTGATGGCCAGATCTTCTGGGAAGGGGAGCAGGGTGATCTCTGGGGAGTCTGGTCTTTCTTGGAGAATACAGAGGCCCATCCCATTCTCCACTTCACAGTCTGAACATTGCATTTCATCCTTACACTGCCCCATTCCCTATTTTCCCTATGGCCTTGCCCCTGGAAAACTCTAAATTATTTGGGTCTATTCATATGCCAATCCAAACAGGAACTGAATTGGAGGTCACCAGTGCATGAGAATCCCAAGAATGTTCAGAGGCAAACAGGATACCTATTTTACTAGCCCCTAGGCCACTTGGAACTTTTGTCCATGTGAGACTACTCCGCCAAACTTGGATGTTGTTCACTCTCCAGTCTCCTGGGTCACTTTGAAAGAAAAAAGAAGCTCTAAAACAGTTAAGTTTGAAGAACTTATATTTAGAACCCAACTAAATCCCCATTTAATACTTAGTAGCAGTAATAATAACAAACCACCACCACAATGCCTGTGTCTATAAACCATGTGAGAGTTCACACATTAGCATGCCTTTTCATTTGATCCTCAAACTATTGAAAAAAAGATGTCAACTTCTATAAGAGATTTTAAGAAGTATTAGAGAATAGAGGAAGTGCTGCAAAGTTGGAGTGAACATAATTATAATTTTCTTTCTTTCTTTCTTTCTTTTCTTTTTTTGTAGAGACAGTCTCACTTTATCACCCTCAGTAGAGTGCTGTCACGTCACATTGCTCACAGCAACTTCCAACTCCTGGGTTTAGGTGATTCTCTTGCCTCAGCTTCCTGAGCAGCTGGGACTACAGGCGCCCACCACAACACCCGGCTATGTTTCTGTTGTTGTTGTTGCAGTTCGGCAGGGGCCGGGTTTGAACCCGCCACCCTCGGTATATGGGGCCGGTGCTCTACCCACTGAGCAGCCCATAATTATAATTTTCAAAAAGTAAGGTATGCTTACAAACTGCAGACAAACAGGTAAGATGTTGATCCTAGGCAAGATTCTAGAATAGAATATTAAAATTGTGAGGAGGCATGCAGGGTAGGGGAAAGGAAATTATCAATGGGACCCAGCATGGGCTTATCAAGAAATCACAACAAAATAAGCTAATTTTCTTTATGATAAGGTTCCCAAATTGACAAATCAGACAAGTGCAATAGATAAAAAAAATACATACCTAAACTTCAGCAAGATGTTTGACAAGATCTTTCATTATGTCCTTGGGAATAAGATAGAGAAAAATGGGCTCGGCGGTGGTAGCATGGTGGTTATGGCACCAGCCACATACACCGAGGGTAGCAGGTTCGAACACGACCTGGGCCAGCTAAACAACTGCAACAAAAAAATAGCTGGGTGTTGTGGCAGGCACCTGTAGTCCCAGCTACTTGGGAAGCTGAGGCAAGAGAATCACTTAAGCCCAGGAGTTTGAGGTTGCTGTGAGCTGCAACACTACAGCACTCTACCAAGGGCAACATAATGAGATTCTGTCTCAAAAAATAAATAAATAAAATAAAAATAAAGGTAGAGAAAAATGAACAGAATTCTAATCTTACAAAGTGACTTCAAAATCAGTAACACTGGTAAGTGGACCATAATAGCCTGGAGTTAGTTTTCTAGTGATATACACAGTGCCAGAGAGCTTTATCTTTGGCCTTGCCCTATTCTATGTTCTCAGCACTAATTTCATTCAAAGCTACAGAATATTAAGGCCATCAGTTATGCAGCTGACACAAAGTTGGGATGGATAACAAATGCAAGAGCCGAGGCAAAATAAGGATTTAAAGGAGCCAGATGAATGGGCCAAATATAACAAAAAGGATAAATGCTGGATTATGTTCTTGGGCCCAAAAATTACCTGAGCACTTGAGAAGATGGAGTTTACCAAGCAACACTATGAAAGAAACTTAAATGTGTTAGAATACAGGATGAGTTATTCATGTGTTTTCATTGCCAAAAAAGCAAAGCAATCTTAAGCTACTTTAGTTGAATAAAGTCTTTAGAATAAGTAGGTTCTACCCTACTGTGTTCATCCCATACTTGCAGCATCAAGGAACAATGCGGACCAGCCCAGTGAGAAGTGGCTGAAGGAAACGGGCATGTGTAATCAGGAGAAGAAACAACTTGAAGGACATAATGGATGTACACATGCAAACACTGATTCCCAGGGCTTTCTGTGATCAAAAATTTAAATGAGTTCTTTGAGCTCCAAGGGGAACAAGCAGGACCAGTGAGTTCAAACTACAGGGAAAACAATTTCAGACTGAAATTACTAAGAGCACTGCAACAATCTGGCCACTCCAAATGTGAAAAGGGCTTCTCAAAAAGTAAAGAGTGCCCTGTCCCTGAAGGTTTTCAGAGATAGGTTGGACAAGCATTTAGAGATTCCATAGAGGAGATTAAAGCTCTGGACAGGAGGTTGCAAAAGACTTTACCTGCGTTCCTGGAGGACCAAGATGCCTGTGTCCTCCAACTACCTGTACCCCTACACTTTCTATGGTGACGTTCAGGGATCCTCCATGGACGTCCTAGCTTCTTTGTGTTGGGAGAGTCTGTATATCACGAGGAATGGAAGTTCTTAGGGCCCAAGGAAAGCCTTGCTTATTATTCTCAAAATAATAGCCTACAATCATTTCCATGTTTAAGTTGACAAAATATGTAATTTGATCCTCATACTATGAGGTAAGTGGGAAAGACATCATTAGAAATTAAGGCTCGGAGAGGTTTGCCCCAAATCGATTAGTGGTAGAACTGGAACTAGAAAACCTAGATCTTTTGGCTCCTGGTCCAGAACTTTTTAATTGTAGAAACTGCTTCTATGTACCCCAGGTTCATTCTCATGGGTTTCATGCTCTCAAGAGGTGCCTCTGTGGTGCCAGGTATAGAAGACCACAGCTGAGACAGAGAAGTCAGAGCCCAGCACTAAGGCTATTAGGCTCATGGGCTCTGGAGATCTGGGCTACCAGCTAGCCTCTTTGTTGCCTCTGGCTGTTGTGATTGCCGCCTCCAGCTGTTGTGCCTGATGTTGCCAGCCTTTTTATCTGCCAACTCCAGCTGTTATCTGTTGCTCCCAGCTGTTGTGCCACCTCCCACGGCCAGGCAGCTTTGTTCTCCTGGGTGGCCAGAATCAGAAGCGGATAAACAATCAGCCACATTCCACCCCCAAGCTGACCAGGCAGCCAGGAAGGAAGCTGGCCAAAACTCTGGACATGGTTTGTCTCTGCCCCACCCCAAGCATGCAAGCTCTTCCCTCTAGAGGGCACTATTTCCCCAAAACAGGCCCCCCCAAATTCCAGGGACAGAATTCTGAAACCCAGCTTCTGACCGGTGAGCGGTAAAAGAGATAGAAGCAGGGACATCCACCTTCTTTCTTCCCTAAGAACTGAACCAGTGATTTTTTCTCTAAAACAAAAGTCAGTCATACCTACAGCAGCGCGAAACATGTTCCTGCAGCAACTAGACTCCCATCTGTGGCTCCTTGCCTGGAAGACCCACCTGGAACTGCTTTTCTTTACCTGAGAGTCATTTATTCTCTAGACTAATGGAGGGATCATCAGAGCCTTCCTTGAGGACAGGGCTGCTCTGGAGTACACTGTCTTGAGTAAGGACACTGTTCTTGTGACAACAATTGATCCATGGCCCCCTCTGTTTTCAGGATAGACTGGAAACCTCTCAGCACAGCGCTCACAACCCTTCATGCTTTGATCTCTGCCCACCTCCTGCCTTTACTCTTGACAATCACAGGGGCCCTGGACTCCAGCTC